GCAGGATGGCCATCAGAGGCACCTGCTCCGTGCCGCTTCATGCGCCTCCAGCAGGTTCAGGCAGGTGGAGGCCACTTCCAGAAACCTCCGTGAAGGAAGGGGGAGCTCCCCAAGACTCAGCTCACAGACCTCTCCTTCCACGGCCCTGCCCTGCCCTGGCTCATTCCGAACCCAGCACCAGCACCAGCACCAGCAAGAGAGGTGCAAGCAGTCACCCCGAGACCACGTGGGCCGCGTTCTCCTGCTGGGGCCCGCTCCTGGTGGAGGAAGGACGAGGGACGAGAACCGCTGGTCTCTGTTTTGAAGGAGGAGGAGCTGATGGGGGCAGGCCAGCAGCCGGCCACATGTACTGCAGAAGGCTTCCCACGAGGAGGAACAGGAGGCCCGAGGGCTGGAGGCTGCCTGTCCCCCCTCCCTGGGCCTTTCCCCTGCCCCCTCGCACTCTGTCCTCTGCCCACCCAGCTCGGCTCCTCCCACCACTGAGGACCAGGTGGAAGGTCAGGTGTCCTTCAGGCTCAGCTGCAGCACTTGGCTATGCCCTGCAGCCCCCCGAGAACAGGAGGACAGGGCAGTTCCACACTCACATTCTTTTCCAAAAATAAAGAATGGACCAGCCACATGTTCAAAAACCAGATAGAACCTGTTCTAGAAAGACCGTCAGCAACGTCGAATCTCGACCACTGGAGCTCACAGGACAAGAAACAACGGCAAAACCTAGAGCCACCAGGAGGCCGCAGGGTGCCCCTGGGTCCAGCCACACAACTTTGGCTCGTGCAGAGTGGGGTCTGTGTTCCCATTACTCAGAATGGCCAGTTTGGGCAGGATCAACATCACGAGGCCCACCCAGCTGACCCCCAAGGCTCCCCACTCTCACAAGCCATCCCATTCCCCCATCTCCCTGCAGCTGGTCCTTTTCTGATGGAGCCCATTGGACCTCATGTCCCATCAGCAGCTAACAGGAGAGAAGTCCCCTGTGTGAGGAGGGATGGTCACGTCAACACCTGATGTGGGCCCCGGCAGAGCCACACTAGCTCTGGGAGCACAGTGCTACAGAAGCAAGTGACCCAGCCCAAAGAGCTTCAGTGAGAGGTGCCCGTGGCCAAGACCTTGAGGGGTGAATAGGGGACAGCCAGATGGCAACAGGAGACGCATGTTCCAAAGGCCAGGGTGATGCCAGGCACAGCCCAGGGCGCCTGCACCCACTGCGCGGGTGGACCATGGAAGAGCAAGGGCGAGTAGAGGGGTGGATGGATCCTAGCACGGAGCCCGTGGAGGGGTGGGACGGACCTGGCTGGTGAGGGTCGAGCGGCCCCTGCTTGCCCACGCACCCCTCGAGGCCTTGACCTTGTCTCCTGACATCCTTTCCTTCCAGCTAAAATCTCACCTCCTGCCCCGCTCCCTCTGGGCTCTGCGGGCCCCCAAGGGCAGAACCAGCGCCTGGTGAGGGGGTGCAGGCCGGGCAGGAGGCACAGCAGGGCCACCTGCAGACAGCAGCTCTGTCTAGGTCCCCGCAAAGCCCACAGGCTCTCTGTGTCACTGAGGCTCACGTTGCCACCCACGAGGGCTCCTTGGCCTCCAGTGGCACAGTGCCCAGTCTTAGCCGAGGGCAAGGCGTCTGCTCTGTCTGCCTGCCGAGCTCAGAGCTGCCGACTGCGCAGTCCCAGCCATCGTCACCGTTCACCGCGCTTCAGGCCTGCTCCCCGCTCACAGCACACCTCTTGAGGGTGCGAGTTTTGGGGTCCT